AGAGAGATGTGAGTTCAAGGAAAGGCCCAGGACCGGTTCCAGGGTGAGCAGACCAGAGAGATGTGAGTTCTAAGTGCAACACGTGATTCCGGACTGGACCCTATTTCTATGAAGGACAGGACTGGGATAACTGGTGACACTTAATCCAAGTCTGAGGATGAGATAATAGTGATGTATTAACGTTAACTTCCTGATTTGTGATGGATATGGCTATACAGGAAAGTGTCCCTCTCATAGGCAATACATACAGAAGGGTCTGGGGGCCACAGGGGAACCTCTCTGTGACTTACTTTCAAATGGTTTAGAGGGGAAATAATGCATGTTTTGTTCTGTCTGCGGTTGTTTTGAAATAAAATGTACAAATGATAACAGTAACAGTAATAATGATGGTCCCATTCCTTGCCAACAAAATCCAGTCTTCACAGAGACACACTGAGAGAAGGTACCACGTCCTACGTAGGAACAGCAGAAACCAGGGCGAGGGTGAGGGGTGAGGGGTGAGCTTCCTCTCTCGCCCCTTCTTGCCACACACACAAAAGGCTACATAATCAGGAAAGTTTCAAAGACAAATACTTTAACTCTATTAGCTGATGATTATGAAACCCTCTCTAAATGTAGAAAATTACCCGAGGGCCCAAAGTCTTTGTAACGTAAGCTTCAAGTTGAATATCATTTATCGCATGAAGACTTAATGAGCTTTACCTGTGATAAAATCAAGAATTTTTACTGAATAGAAATTTTGCTAGATCACTTACAGCTAGGAAAAGCTCATCGACAACATCCATAGCCACAGAGTCACTAACAAATCCCCAAATCACCAAATTACCGTTTATGTGCTTCCTGTTTGCTGCGACACTCTTCACAGTAGTATTTGTATTCACTGCAGAGTGTTTCCGTGTTGCTAAAACCCCTGCATAAATGTCAAAATACATTTATTTTGTATGTACCTGAAAAAGTAACATATTCATTTAAAAATAGTCTAAACCAAAGACAGTCATTAAATGCCAAAAATAAATAACTCCATAAATACCTTAAGCAGTGAGTAATTGATGTGTTTTGTTCCACGTCAACAGAAAGGTCTAAAAAATCTTCATCTTTGCTGCTTACCTGTGAAAATAAGGAAATATTGTTGACTTCTTCAAAGATCAGTAAGCTACCATTCCCACAGGCAAGCTTACCATTCTCTGGCTGTTATCGCATCTCGTGCTGGTCTGTACCATGAACTGCCCAATGACCAGTATTTGTAGATTGTCCTCTCTGGCCTACAAGCATCTTAAGATGACAGACTTATGTCTTAATCATCTTCTATCACCTTCCAACCATCTTCTACTCAGGATCACTGTTGTTGTTGTTCTCGTTATGTGCCATTGAGCTAGATCCGGCTTGTAGCAACCCCTCCTTGAGTTTCCAAGGTGGTATCACTACGGAAGTAGATTGCCCAACCTTCCTTCTGAGGAGTGGCTGGTGGGTTCGAACTGCCAGCCTTCTGGTTAGCAGTCAAGTGACTTAGGCACTATGCTATCGGAGCTCCTCATTAGTACTCAAATATTTGTGTGACGGTGGATGGAGAAATATATATTCACTCCTGAGAAATCATAGACTCATCCCTTCAGCTTAGTTTGATAAATTAGCTTGATATTAATGGTCATTTACAGAATCTGCATGACAATGGCTTAGATTTTAAGGAAAGAGTCTCCATTGATACCTGCAATTTTTGGCAGATTACCTGCAACTGTAGACTGCAGGCCACAGTATGACCTACTAAAGAATGGGTGGGATGATCAGTATCCATCCATTACCAATCCGATCACTAAACACTTGAGCACTGTGAACAAGAAGGGCTGGTAGCACTTTCTCCTTCAAAACCTTTCAATCCCCACCTTCCACCATTCCCAGTCTACAAAATAAACTTCAAAGGCCTTCATATGGCATCCCAACGGCCTCCATGTAGGTTCCTCGACTTACCTTTGCAATCTCACCTGAGACTGTGTTTCTCAGGACACTACAAAGCAAATCCAACTACTTTTTGTTTCATGGACAAAAACCAAACTCACTGCCTTCGAGTCAGATCCAACTCATAGTGACCCCTTCTTGGTTTTACAAGGCGTTATCACTACGGAAGTAGATTGCCCCACCTTCCTCCCGAGGGGTGGCTGGTGGGTTAGAATTGCCAGCCTTCTGGTTAGCAGTCAAATACATCAGGCACTATGCCACCAGAGCTCCCTTGTTTCACGGAATAAGGTCGTATTATGTACGTTCTGACATCTTCTAATACAAAGCAAATTCCTTAACAAACATCAAAACCAAAAAACCAAACCCACAGCCATCCTGGGTAGGGAAGGCCGGGAGGCAGTGGCAGACGGCTTTTGAGGGGGGCAGAACTGGTGGGGAAGGCCGGGAAGCAGGAGTGGAGCAGTTTGGAACAGCTAAGGGAGACAAATTCGCCTGTCAGTTTGTCATCCTGTGGTGGCTTGCGTGTTGCTGTGAGGCTGGAGGCTGTACCACCAGTGTTTCAAGCGCCAACAGGGTCA